TGTCAACATGTGGGCAAAGAATGACATGCAATCCCCAATAGATGTGGGATGAAATCCAGAATAATTTTTTACTATATTCTCCAAACAACAACAACAACAAAAACCCACAAAATTAAGAGATCCAAGCAGGGAAAGGCTCTGATTTATGGGATACAGAAGAAATATTATATGGATATGGCAATTTGTTTGGGCTTAATATCTATGGGTCAGCTCACACACACCTCCACCAAGCAATGTGGTCTTTGAACAAATTTTAAAATATGTGTATGCATACATCAAAATCACAGGATGGAGATTGGAATTGTAGCAAAACATGGGGAAATAAAACCCAGACATTACATGTATTATCTTTCATACAAAACCCTATCAACCCTGAAGTCAAATCCCACTATTATTTTTAGTGCACTTTTCAGCTGCCACATACTTAAACATTTTATTTTCTTTTATTAAACTGTGAAGTACGTAGGCTAGATTTGAATTCATTCTTTGCCTAATTTTAGTGATTCTCTCCTAATCCTCTTTCTTACTCAATATCTTGTAACATTTGGCTATGGTATTTCAGAGCTGACATGTTGTTAAGGGGCAATTTACTGCGTTGTCTTGCAGGGTTTCTAATGGATCAGGAATTCACTCTGCCTATGGGGTGCTGTAAACGAACATTTTGCTAACCTGTGGCTTTCTTGGAAGGGGTGGCTGCAGGCACTGCCTCCACTCTATTTTACATTTATCTTATGCAAATTTTTTCTGTGAATATATAAAATATGAAATGTTGCCCATTCATATTGTGGCTTGACCACAGTTCTAACATGTCACCTCCTTCCATTGCCACATCCCCACCGTTCCTTTGAATCTTCTCCAGATCCAGTGGTTGTTGAATTTACATTCTTCGCTAGGCTGTTAATGAGTATATCGATTAATGCTGGCTCCAGTATCAATCCCTGTGGGAGACCAATTGATACTTTCTCTCTTTTGACATAAAACCATTGATGATAACTCACTGGTTTCTGGCTGTTGGATAGATTTTTATCTCCCCTATTGTGTTATTATGCAGCCTATGCAACTCCAGCCTTCCTATTGAGTTCATGTGTAGCACTAAACTAAGAATTTACTAAAAATCTAACTATGTTATGTCTGCCTTCATTAATTAAATTCTCAGTATAATTGAGCCTGAGCTTTCATTCAGGCCTGTACAGTCTACGGCTTCCACACAATGTTCACCATTTGTGTTGGGCTGCTTTTCCATAAAATAGTGGGATAATTTAGATTGCAAGGGACTACAGAAATCACCTGGTCCCAGCCCCTACTTGAAGCATCTCCTATTAGATCAGGTTGTCTAGGCTTGGATCTGGTCACATTTTGAGTGCCTCCACTTGTGGGGACTGATTACATAGCACTTCCCTGGACCTGCTGGCTGTTTTCTTGTTAATACAGCTCAGAGTGTGGTGGTTGTTCTTTGCTGCTTCCTTGAGAGCTGGCCTGTGGTTTGCATTGTTGATATTTCATCACGGATAGCAAAATATCAAGCTTTGCATTTGGTTTTCCTGAACTTCATGAGGTTTCTGCCAGCCAGCCCAAGTCCTCCTGAATTGTAGCCCTGCCATCTGGCCTATCGACCGCTCTTCCTGCTATCTGTGTGTCTGCAAACTTGCTGAGAGTGCAGTCCATCCCATCATCAGCTTGTTAATGAAGACATTAAGCAGTATTGGTCCCAGTATTGATCCCTGAGGGATGCCACTACTTACTGACCATTTTGTTTAGAAGCATGCAAGCAAATTTACTTCTTGTGGTGGTAAGAATGAACAGCACAAGCCGGGCAGAGTGGGAGGAGGTCCTGCCTCACTGACATTGCCAAGTGAATGAGAAATTGTGACACTTTGCTCAAAGTCCGCCAGGCGAGACAGGATGAGAATGCTCGCAGTACAGCTGGATCTCTGAGCAGCCAGGTATTTTATGGGATACAAAACTAACGCTGCCTAAAAGGGCAGCTTCGATACCCTAGCAGTTTTAGCAGATCTGGACTTGTGATCCTTTTAGATCTGTCATTTCATGGCATTATCATGTACTTGTTCCAGCCTCCAAATTGATGGGCAGCAGATACAGCACAGGCCATTGATGTTTCTCAAAAATAGTGTGGTCCATGCTTGGGACCAACTTCATATTTCAAGTTTTATGTGGATGAAAGGACTCACCATGATGTCCCTGCTTTCCTCTGTTAGTGCACGTTGGCCTCCCGGACCTGTTGCAATACCAAGTGCAATTAGCACAGCTAATGTAAATATTTGTCCACTCTGGAAGCTGCACAGTTGCTCCCTTATGAACTGTCTTCCCAGGCTACGAGGAGCTGGGAAAAGAGCCTCTTCTTAATACATCTGACACAATAAACATCCAGTTTCAACAGCTATTGGAAGCCCTGGTTCTGGAGGAACCTGTACTGGAGAGGGCTGCTTAAGCAAATTAGATCTCAATTGAATCAATATGACTTTGGCACATGCTGAATGTTTAAGCACATGCTGAAGTGTTTACTATTCAGCCTCTCATTTAGTTTCCATTTAATTAAACAGGATCAGATTCTCAACGGATGTAAATCAAGGGAGTTTCTCCCAAAGGAGTTCTCCCAGTTTGCAGTAATTGAAGGGTTGATCTGATGTCCCAACTCTACTTCTTTCCGCAGGTAGCTATGTATCCATCTGTCTGTCTGTCCACCTGACTAACCTGTGTTATTTTTACCTCCAGAGTGATAAACTATTTGAGGAAGAGCTGCTGTCAGAAGCAGCCCAGAGGGACAGAGGTCTCATTAGGTATAAACGAAGTTCTGAGCCTCTGGTAAATGAAATGAAACTTTTCAGTTGTTACGGTTGTTCAAGTCTGAGCTGATATAAGCATCTCTGCTTCTCCTGATACAGGCAAGGATATCTTTGGAAGTTTAGTGCTTCCACTCCAGATAAAAGCAAGTCATTTGCTTCTTTCATCATGTCGCTACTAATTTCCAAACAGTCAAAGCTGCTGCTAATTTATTTACTGAACACTGAAGCCCTGTTAGCAGGGGCTGCTACTGAAACTGCTTTCTGGCCTTCGGCTTTTGTTTGTTGACAGCCTGATTTCCCAGTAGGCCATTTCCACCTGTGTTTCTGTTGTTTTTAGTGCATGTCTTTCTTTCTTCTTCCCAGTGACTGTCTCCCAAATGGCTCCTGAAGGCTTTTCTCATCTTCCCCCGCTCTCTCATCCCCTTCTCCCTCCCAGCTGCAAGGACTCTCAGCCCTGCTTTCAGTCATCCTGCAGTTAGTGGTTGTCTACACTGCTGAGCTCCCATGGGGCACTAATTTTTGTTTCAAGGACAAGATTCAAAAGAGTTTGCTACACACAGGTTGCAGGGTGCACCTTCAGATGTGCCTTCAAATAGACTTTGGAGATTTGAATATATGAGCTCCTGAAAATCAGTTTTTAAATTGCAAGGGAGGCCTATTAAGTGCTGTAAAAAAAAAAAAAATTTTTTTTTGCTTTTCTATTTTAAAAGCCACATTAAAAAGTGATTTTTTTTTTTTTTTTTTTTTCCACCCCTTCCTCTCTCCCATGACATTGGGTGGAAATAGAAATTAGGAGACTGCCATTTCCCTTTAACTTCATGCATATCAAAGGAAGAGAGATGACAGGATAAAATGATTCAGAGAGTGGCCAGTGTCTGGAGGAACTCCTGAAGAAGGATATTGAGATGTTGCAGTAGTTTCTTTGCAACAACCCAGTGTGCTGGGAGCTTTCAGTGAGAGAGGGGCTCTGAGATGGTTTCCATGACTTGAAAAATTGGGAGGCTGCACAGCTTTGAGGATTTATTTATTAAGATACTGTTTTAATTTTACTCCTTAAATTATCCATCCTATCTCATGAGTGTGTGTGGTTCTTGATGTACACTTTGCTTCATACAGAACTTCTGTTTTGCTTTATCTCACCCCAGCAACCTGTGCTGGCATCCATGGACTGACAACCAACGTCTGCTATTCTGGGCTGCAAAATTTTTCATTAGCCCATAAATTCAGTTCAACTGGGATTTTACTGCTTCAGTTTTGCTGGCAGATTTGGGATTTTAGCCCAAAAACAATGTACAACTGCTAATCTCCCAGTTTAAATGAGCAATTGCAGTTTGGGAGGTTCTTCTGCCCCTTGGTTTCTCAAACTGTACATGTACATCCATTGGGCTCTTCAGATTCTTTCCCCTCTTTGCCTCCATTTACAGTTTGTCAAACAGATGGTAATGCTGTCTGACCCCAAACTGACACTGTGAAATTGGTCAGAAATAAATATTGATGGAGAAAATATGTGAAACTGTAATCAAAGCAAGGAGAGGAAATCTCCAGTGTCCAAAGGCATGCACGTTGATGGGAGGCCACATCTGCACCTGGAACCAGAAGGTTGGCATCCAAGCTGTTATCTCATGGTCTTGAGTGAGTCTCTTACCCGCCATGTCCTCCATTTCCCAATAGCATTGCAATAAGGCTAATATTTACCTGGCTTGCAGTCAGAACGAATTAACATTTGTAGAGTATTTGGAAGTCCTTGGGTGAGCAGACTCCTACTGCTAAGCAGGGCCTGTATTGTCAGTGTAACACTGATGTGCACAGGGCTGCTTGCACAAGTGTATGCACTGCCTCATCTCAGAGCTCTTGGGTTGGCACGGGATGTGAGAACAAACCCAGCAGTCCTTGACAATCCGTGTCATTTTCCTTTGAAATGAGTGTATTTTCTTTGAGAACAGAGCTTATCGTGTTATCTCCAACGAAAGTTATGTTCTGCCTTTTACAGTTGCCATGATGCAAATGTCATTTGTACTCTCCTTCTTTATGAAAGTTAACAGTTATTTAAGAGATCAAAGTTAATTATCACTGAGGAGATCATTTTTACCTATCAACCCACTTCTGTAACCCCACTATCACAAGTAGAAGCTTTATGCTAATCAGTTTTCTAATTTCCATAAATTACTGGTAGAATTACTTTTTTTTTTTTTCCAGCATGAAAGTAGATCTGTTGGTGAAAGCTCCTGAGAGGTGCGGAGACGGGGAGGAAACGAGGTAAGGTGTCTTTCCATGAGTTTGCCAGCTGAATGTGGTACCAAGAAAATAAAATCCAAATCATTAGGTTCATCGCATCACAAAACTTGGAGATGCTGCAGCTTCCCTGCACTGCAGAAACCTGATGCACACACATTGTTTCAATTTAACATGGTGATAGGAATGGAATCGAACGTGAGGATCACTGTGTGACCCTATTACATGTGAAGTGTCTCTATTAGAGCGGCAAAGACAGCATGCCAGAGGAGCTGAAATGTGTTGATAGAAACAAACAGATATATCTTTTTAAAAGCAGCAGTCAGAAACTCTGCAGTATGATCTGAGCGTGTTCTGCTGGAGAGGGCAAGGTAGTCTATCCTAGGGGAAGATGATATTAAGAAAGAGAAAGAAACCCCTTCCGCTCCATCACAGCCCTTTCTGTGCAGTGAGCTTGCCAAATGGAAGCTGCTGCTGTGGAAGTTGTTACTGCTATGACTGACAGCTGCTGTAAAATAACCTCAGCTGCGGCATGGGAGGGAAAGCAAGAAATCAGAATGAAAGGGATGTGGGTATTTTTGGGTATCCCCTTGGTCTAGAAGTTGAGCAAAATAATTGCTTGGTAATGAATGAGCTTGTTGCTGCGCTGCTTCAGCTTTATAGTCTGATGCAGATGAATTCCAGCATAAATAAAATCACCTCCAATCCAAAGACTAAACCTAGAGATAAAATTGTATCTATGCAACAATAAAACCACACCATACTATTAAAACTTCATTTTACACTCAACCTCCAGTGGGCATTGATGTCCATTTGACCACTTCTCCCTCCAGTAAAGCAAGGCCTGGGCTGCCCTGGTGACTTGTTAGCCAATGTACCTGTGGCATTTTCTAAGGCATCTCAAGTATTCGTGGTGGTTTTGTCAGTTCCTCTTACCTCCAGCAGCTGCGTTCTGCTCTTCATTTCCTTTATAAAGATTAAGAAGAGCTCTGTAAGTCTCTGCGTTCAAGGAGTTAAGCAAGAGCATAATGATTTGGTGAGAGCTTCCTGACTGCAAAATGGTCACATTTTCCACATTTCTTAGGAACACAGAATTTGCAGGAAGTTCACTTCTGGCTTCAGTAGGAAGGCAGGAGGTGTGGGCTGAAGCCCACTGGACACCACAGCTGTTGTCATACAGGAGCCTGAAGCACTCTTTTCCCACAGCTCCAGGAAGAGTCCCACTTTGCAGTAAGACACAGCCATGACCTGTGGCATGCCCCTCTCCCATTCACCACCCCATAATCACTCAGAGCTCCACATGGACCCTGGCAGCCCCATGCCCTCTATAGAGGGGGCACCAAAAGCATTCCAGGGCAGGGGACAGAAGTCACCAAAAGGACCTCGGCTTCCCTCTGGCTGTGAGTTTTCGAGTCTCTGCTTAGTGAAAAGCATCACAAAATTACATTCTCTCCTGATTTTTTATTCTTCGACCTTCATGTCTCCTGCACACATGCATCTATTTTTCTTCAAACAGGCGCCATCCCACTGAAATCAGCAGGACTCTGTGGTGCTCTGAGGAAGGCATACATATGCCTGGATCAAGCTGATATTTACAGAAGGCTCCTTTTGAATTGGCTTTTGATTACACACCTATGTTAGAAGGTGGACAGTGAGACTCAGTGTGACTTGTTTCCGTGAGAAAAAGATGGTGAAAGATTGCAAAGTTAACCTTTAATATAACAGACCTTTTTCAGCTGTCATGTACAGTGCTAAACTGTATATTTCTGGTTGAAAGGGAACATAAACTATGATCCAGAACACAAAAGGGTTTAGAAAATGTAACCTTCATGAATATGGTTTGGGTTTTATTATCTCACTTATATATTCTGCTTGATAGCTGTAGGATAACATGAACAGTGAGTTGGAATCTTTCCTTGTTTCTACCAACAAAAAAATCAATCCATTAATAGGCCAATAAAATCCTGGGATTTGGAGAGAGGGGAGGAGGAGAAATAATTGCATTGTTCTGATGCTAACAAGCCGCATCTATCTTAAAATAACTGATTAAAGCCTGTGCTGGCACGTGGCCTTTGCACAGGAAAGCTCATTGCTTACAGGTGTGCTGTGCTGGGGCACAAAGATGTTGTGTTGTGCTGCATCTGTTGGGATGGAAAAAGCCCATATCCTCCTGCTCAGCCCTTCCCTGCAGACACAAAGCCACAGGGATGGGCTCACAGTGGGGCTGGCCAGGGCCATGCAGAGGTTCCTGGGGCACTCTGCACTGCTGATAAATAGTTGCAGGGATGCACAATTGCATAATGATAGCCACATTCATTCACCTGTCTATCAAAAGAGATGCATTAAAGTTTGAGCTCTCTTCCCCTGGGTCCACAAAGAGACATTTGAGTGTTAGTGTATAGTCTTTAACATACTTCCTAACAGTGGGCTAAGTGCAGTGGGGTTAAACAGAGTCCCTTTTGCTTAGTAATCCATTAGCTAATGGGTGTGTAAGCCCATCAATTTTCTGTTTATTCCCTAACCCCATTAGGGTACACCTGCTGTGCATAAAAAATACACCTGACAAATCAGAGTGATAGCTGAAATAAAATAAATATCAAGTGTTGTTATAGCTGATCCATAGTGTTTAAAGCAGAAAGGGCATAACAGTGATTTGTGAGGGCGGAATGCAGCACAGCGCACTGGCAGCACGTGCAGGTTGACATCCATCCATCCGTCCCCTCGTGATCCCACTTCACCTGCAGGCTGTGGTGGCAGGCAGCCATGTCCCCATCCTCCAGGTCTCTCTGGGGAGCTGACATTCACCTTCAGACACTGCTCCCAGCTCCTTCTGGAGAGCCCCAGTGCTGCTAAGTGATAGATTAATTATTTGCAGGGAGTGAGAGCACGAAGGCAGCCAGAAGCTTCAAATCTGTCTCTGGTACCAGGGCCATTTGTTTTGTCACTTCATCGGCTTTATTTATTTATTTATCTTACAGCTCCCCTTGTGATTAAAACTGTTGAAACAGCTGTTATCTGGTAGCTGCTCTCGCCTGGCTATTTCCTGATGTCAGTCAGTGGCTGTGGAGCTGCAGCATCAGTTGGAGCCTGAGGAGAGGCAGCCACGTCCTGGCTGCCCCCACACCCTGAAGGAGCTGCCCGTGTTGTGCAGCACCCCCCATTGCACAAGAAGTGGATCTGGGCACTGCAGCAATGGAGCCACAGACCCCACTGTCAAAAGCCAATGAATGCTGAAATTAAGAGACTGTTGGAAAGTTGACCAAAATGAGGATTCGCGTTTAAAAAACAGAAACAGAGCGCATTCATCATCTCAGAGGAAGGCTGATGAGGATGAGATGAGCAAGGTATGTAGTTCAAGGCAGTTTGACCAGAACAGGAAGCTTGCTGGGGCAAAAGAATGGGTTTTGAATGAGGTGGCCTCAGACCCCGTGTACAGGAACCAAGATGTCCTCTGGCACCAAGGTGAGTGCTGAGCAGAAGGGGCAGGGCAGGTGGGTGGAGGACAGCACAGGCAGATGGACATCGAGGATGGCATTTATGTCCAAAGTCTGGGATGGAGAAGTCTTATCTTTGTGGAAGTAGAAAAGGGAATAGAAAGCCCCTCAGGCTGAGAAAAAGCTTAGGAACAGGTTTCAGGGCTTGGAGGCTTACAGCCTATTATCAGATGAAGGGGACTGTAACCACTGATGTCGCTACTCCTTTTGCTGTTAGAGCAAAGAAGCCTTGTGCAAGTTTTCAGCAATCACATTCAGCACCAGAGGGCTGAGAGAACCAGCTCAGGGCTGCTGAATCCACAGAGCTGAAGAACTCAGCTTAGATTAAGAAACATTCAAAGAACAAAAAAGAAAAAAAAAAAAAGTAGCGAGAAGGAAGAGATCAGTTCAACCCAGTCCTGCAACAGCCACTGAACTGCTAACCACTCCATCTGGGTAATGGAACAGAGGGAGGGTTTGCAAATCCAGCCTGAGCTGCCTAATTCCTCAGCCAAAAAGCACCACTTTCAGGCGATGAACAGTGACAAAATGAACAAAGCGAGTCACTGGTGTTGGGTTGTATTATCTGCAAGCTTTGGCATTTTTCAGCTGAATGGTTGCCACTTCTTCCTTCCCAGCCCACTGCTGCTATTATTTTTACAACATGACTGTTGAGGAGTGTATCATTCATAACATACCTATCACAGAGAGATTCCTTTTTAAATGCTTAGGGAGATGGAGGGCTACAAACCCTGGGAAATCAACTATGCCTAATATATTATGTAGAAGTTCTGTAATCATTATTGAACTAAAGTGCATTGAGTAAGTGGATAAAATCAGTCCCACTGTAGCATAAGTCTCCAGAGAGCACAGATAAAAATGCCTGGTACTTAAGTAGAAAAAGGTAACAAAATATTTCTAGTCCCAGCAACTGCATTTTCCCCTCTATATAAATAGGGAACCCTCAGGAGAAGGCAATGATGCAGCAGAGGTTGAAGGCAAAGTTAATGGTGGCACGGTGGGGGAGCGAGTCAGTGCCTGGGGCAGGCTGATGATGAGTGACGTGCTGTGGAAATGGGGCCGAAGGCAGAGCCTCACTAGCAAGGAGGCAGAGGGGTGCAGGCAGGCCCCCATACAGTGCTATGGGGTGGGGGGTCTGGGAGGGCGCAGAGAAAGGTCACAGCCCTACAGCCTCTAGATGAGCCTGGTACAACATTTGAGCTCCTCTTTCCTCTAAACTGCAGAGAAGTGAATGTTTTACCAAGGATTCACCTTGAGGCTTGCTTTCTAGAGCTTGTTGTGGCTCCTGCACAGAGTGACAGTTTCCCACTCCAACACAAATGTACATCTGCAGATTTGTTCCTACTGAGCTGAGCTGTTATCTTTCTGCAAACCCTCCTCACTACCAAATTTATTCTGTGGGATAATCTGTGCCCATTCAGAGCACTCCCACATGTAGCCAAACAGAACCGGTCCTTGCCCCCCTCATTCATGTGGTCAAGATTGCAATGAGTTACCCCAGCATGGTACCAGCTGCAATCTCACTGAAACCCTTGGAGGGTCTGGCTTACCAAGTCAGGCAAAGCTTGCTGTGAATAAACTGGGGGAGAATTAGAGTTTCATATACTTCATCCTTCTGCAACAAAGGAGGAAACAATTTCACTCTCTTCACCTTACAGGATGCATATGACAGAGCTTGCTCTTTATTTCAGGAAAGGCTTAAGTGATCTTTTAGATTATTTTCTTTTCCTGACATCTTCAGACATGCATTCAGATGGATGATAAAGTTGAGGTCATAAACTGAAAATAATAGCAAGGAAAAATATGTCAGAGCATTTTATTTGCTGCTCCTGGTGTAGGCCAACACAAAAAAAGCCACCTAGAACTGCAACCCCACTGTTAGGTTGCGATCTGGATAGTCATCCGCATTCAAGTCCTGAAATGACTATATTACAGTTTTCTAAGATGTGTGCTCTTTCACATGACCTGCCAATCATGTTGGAGCAGTGCCATAAGCTCTGGACTAGCTGTATCCTCAAGGGCACCTAGGAGAGGAAAACAGAGGAGAGCTGTGGGGTTGGAACTATTACTTATTTATCTAAAGTATTGACCTGACCTCCCCTACTGAAATACCAGCATTAGCTGCTCGGGAAGAGGGATGCCAGAGCAGATCCTTCTGGGAAACAGGGGAAGCAGAGGTGTCAAATAAAGCCCAAGTCAGGCAATATCCCATTGAGATAAAAGGAGATGGTGAGGGGGGGGGTGAGGGACACAACACAGGCAATGTGTTGTAGCAATGACTCAAGAGTGGGTGGGCAAGGAGGCTGCAACCAAAAGGACCAGATATCTTGCTGAAGCTGTCTGACAGACTATGTAACAGCCTGGCTGAGATGCACCCATAGTGTGTGGGATGAACTTTGAATGTTCATGATTAGGCTTTGTACATATTTACCATAATGGTAATGAATTATGTTTGTAAAAGGATGAAGAAGCAAGTAGAAAGTGTTGCTTAATGTCATAATGAATGGAACTGAATAAGGAAAGGGGCATGGCTCTGAGGTGACGAGATGGATGGTCCTCTGGAGTGCCCAGTCTGGTGTCTGGGGGAAATTCTTTACAGAGAAAGAGATGAGGTACTGGAACAGCTGCCCAGAGAGGTTGTGGATGCCCATCCCTGGAGGTGTTCAAGGCCAGATTGGATGGGGCCTTGGGCAGCCTGGTCTGGTATTAAAGGTGAAGGTTGGTGGCCCTGCCTGTGGCAGGGGGGTTGGAGACTCATGATCCTTGAGGTCCCTTCCAACCCTGTGATTCTGTGTCTGAAGTGGCACCCAAGCCCAAGTGAGGAAACAGAGAATGAAATGGAATTGGGGAAAAAAAAAAAGTTACTGGGATTCTTCAAGACAAAGAAGACATTTCTCCTGGAATCAACACTGAAGAATTTGTCTTGCTTAGCCACCAGCCAAGCAGATTGATAGTGGCAGCATTTGTTTTTTGTGTCTCCAAACTGAAGGCCTAACACAGGAGAACAGAAAAGTACACTGATGGCAAATGATGAATGCATATAACATTTGCCATATAGCAGAGGAACAGTGACAACATCCCTTAAAAAAAGTGATGATGAGTGTAAATAAACAAAATACTAAGATGAAGGGGATGTGTTTCTGAAAAAGCCTGGACAACATGGACTTAGATAAAACATTTCTAGAACTACTGTCCCATAAAACAGGAGGGATCCAAGCTGAGATGGGAGCCAGGGACTCTGATAGATCTCCAACCAATTGTTAGTACAGCAGCCTGGTTTGAACATGTATAAGAGGATGGGTGAACAAAAGGTGTAAAGCAGGAAGGAACAGGGGAATAAAAAACAAGCGCATAACATAAAATAGGTCTTCAGCTAACCTATGAAATAGCAGAAGATCCATGGACTGTGATGCTAAGCAGGCTTATGTGAATGATTACGTGAGGCAGCTGTGGCACAAGCCTATAGATAGGGAGAAAGGCTCCAAAGGGAGTAAATAGAAACACAGACAAGGCCAGGAAGCTAACAGTGAGGGTAGGTTGTTTCACTGAGGTTTCTTTGAACAAAGAAAATTAGAGGCATACCCATACGAAAACACAGCCAACTCCATTGCCAGACAAACTCTCATTGGATCCAAAAGGCTGAAGCAAAACTCTGGTTCTAGACAGAGAACCATTACATAATCCACAAAGAGGTTTCCTGATATTATATCCTGAATTTCTTAGACTGCTTTTTATCTACGTGTGACCTGAGTTATTTCCGGTGAGCAGAGAACCTCGGGTTGCAGTGAGAGCTGCCAAAATCTACACCACGTCAAAAGGTGCATAGAAGAATTATCCCAGACAGAAGAAGCAGATTCTTCATGAAGACAAAATAAGCATGGGGTCAGCAGTTCTATTTTCCTCTAGCAACTACAGGGATGAATCTGTTAGAGCCAGCCAACAATTTACATTGCAAGAAGCAACATCCAGCTGCTTGTATTTGCAGCAAATTTTAATTTTCTAAGTGCGATGCTGTATTGGGATGGAAAATACCACAATAATATTGGGGCAGCAAAGTCTTCAGCTACAGCAAGTGACAACAAGCCCAAATGCAGCAGCCACAGATGCAGAAATGAAAGAACAGAGATGCTTACCTTTGGAAGACCTCAGGTATGCAGGAACCTCCAGCAAACAGTAAAAGATGCCTTCATCCCTACTACCAACCCTTAAATGAGGTCTGGGAAGGGGTGGATCCTGGCTCCACCCTTTCCAATCACTCAGGAGCATTGCATGCACCTGAGCTCCCCTGGGCTGGCCCTGCCTTCCCACCAGGTGCTTCATCACTGCTTCAGGCTGTGACTCAGCAATTCTGCTACACTAAGTAAATTTTATTTTAATTCAAACTGAAATCTCAAATTCCTATTTCTACCAAAGAATGCTCAGAGCTTTGCATTGGGCACGGCATATAAAGGTTTTCAATTTTCCCCAGTCTTCTGTACTACAGCTACTTGAGGACCAGTTGGGTGCCACTGTGTCAATCATCCTCATCCCAGAAGTAAAATTCTTTATCGTCCCCTCCAACTAGAGAAGTCCAAAATCAGATCAAACATGGTAGATAATGGATAATGGATATGGATATTTAGTAACGGCAGTAGAACAGAAACATTTTACAGGAGGGTCCACCATGGTCAAGCAGCTACTTACAGCTCAGCATGCTTTGATGCAGTTCTGGCAGCTGTCCATGTGTGTAACTGAAGACCTGGTTCAGAGTGCATAATGGCAATGGATGTGTTGCCATTGACTCAACTCAAACCGAGATGAAAACATATCTCCCTGCAGTGAATCTAATATGCCTTTTTTTGTATTTCATGATGACTGTGTTTAGATGGCCAGCTCTCTGCTGTTGGGTACATAAAACTAGATATGCTCCTGAAATTCACCAGAAATACAGGTGAGCTCTTCAAGCAATCAACAGAGTAAATTGTAGAAATAATAAGAATAACGTTATGACGGTGAACAGACAGCACTGTGAGTGAGGATCCTTTGAAATCCACTAGCAACAGAATAAGAGGAGTTTCAGTGCACGAGAATTTGCAGTATTTCATTGTGTAATTCCACAAAGTTCTGCTTCTCCTTAATTTCAGAAAGACAACTCAGCAGCCTCTGGCTTCTACGTTTTAGTTTTTCTCATCTACTAGCCAGAAAAAGAAACACACAACTAGGAGCTGTATTCACAGACAGGAAGTAACTTTAATTAAATATTGTGAAAGTTGAAAAGTTTTTACAGCTTGAGTTTCTGCAAAAAAATTATAACAATCTCTACAGTAGTTAGTTTCTCTAACAATAGAACTGTACAGTGTGTGTGTCTATTCAAAAAGATTTAGATAAGAAGGTGAAAGGTTAGTAGTTTCAGAGATGACTTCATTTTAGCTGCATTCTAGTACAACTGTGAGGAAATAGGCATACTTGATGCAATCCAGTCATTGTGAAGCTTCACCTTTTTAAAATTGAAATCTGGACGTTTCCACTTAAAGCCATATTCTGTAAACAGCTGCATCTTTTACTTTGTAAAAGATAAAGATGGTGCAGGGGGTGGGGTTTAAGAAGTCCCATTGAACAGACCACTACAAATAGCTGCAACAAAACAAAACGATGCACGTTGTCAGAGGATCTTTGGACACTGGCGTAGAAGACTACAAACACAGGTGGCCAACACTGGTGTCAAAATCGCTATGACTTTGAGTGGAGCCCTACAAGAGTAATTGATGGTGTCACTGGACAAAATATGGCTTTAAATTTGGTTACATTGTCGTGCTGTTGCTTACTACGTGAATTAGAATAACCGCTTGGAATACAGAGAAGCAATAACTGATGTCTCTCACATTTTCCAGTTTTTTCTCCTTTTATTTTCTCACCATGAAAAAAAAAAGTTCCTGCTTTCTTCCCTTCCCCTAAATGATCACACTGTGACATTCTAGTGAAAACCATTGCAAAATTCATACAGGAAGCATGCACAGTTGCAGCATCGTTGTAAATGATTTCTTGCTCGGCTAGAAAAAAGTTATATTGTTTTAAGGTAACAAAACAGTTCTTTTGTGCTTTTCAATTCCTTTTTTTTTTTTCTTTTCTTAGAATGTTAGTGATGATTGACAGTTCTGGTGCACAGTACAATGTACAAGTGAAATGAATATGATTTGCATTGTTAAGGCATCCAATCTGCTGGTTTATATTTACGTGAAAGACAGAGAAATATACAAGCAGACTTAAGAAAGAAAGTATTTTCATTGAGTTCTATGAAGTTTCTCCCCATATTTAATGCACAAAAATGCGTCACTCCAAAGAGGAGAAATCCCATGCATATTAATAGAGTAAAACAGCATTAGTTTTTGTTAAGCCTCAAAAGCAAAGGATACATTTTTTTAAAATCTACATAACTAAATGCTACAAGAATAATATGCTACTTTTTGCCATATATTGGAAAAAACTTCTTAACTTACAAATAATACAAAAATAGACAATGGCTTTTGGGTGGAAAGTAAAAAAAAATGGAAGCATGGTTTTAAACAATACTAAAAAAAAAAACCCAACCCTATAAATGAAATGCTTTAAAACCACATTTAAACAGCTAATACAACGGTGAATGACCAAACAAATCACTTTTCACATAGCAAACATACACAATAAAATAAACTGGAGTAGGGGGGGAAAAAGCAATGTACAAATTCCCAAGATAAATACATTATTTATATGGATATTTTACAAAATCCCCCGTAAAACAAATGAACAACAACAACAACAAAAAAAAACAGAAACAAAAAGCTTTTTTTTTCTTTAATTAATTTCGCAAGTATGTGCAAGCTAAAGGTAGTGAGCTCTTTTTGCAAAATATGCAGTAAAATTCTTTATTGTGATATTGAAAAACTGTCTTAAGACATTAAAATGTATAAATAGAACAACAACTTTGGCAAAAAATCACAAAAAATCTACAGTATTTATAACTACATACAAAACACAACAGCAAAGAAAAAATATCAGGTAATGCATTTTCAGAGCTTTGCTGCCTCTTTGACCAATCGTTTTTAAGAACACTTCCCAGATGACGATAGCAAAACTTTTGTAAAACAGAAGCCATGGTTCTGATCTGAAACCTCCCCACCAGCCCCACCGCCCGCCCCGAACTCCTGTTTCCATTTTACTGTTGAGAAGCAGTTACCTGTGGCTTTATATATTATGATACAAACGGAGAGGGTCGACTGATACAGGAACAATCCTAGCGCGAGGCTGGCAACAGTGTGTGCTTTTAGATCGTGAGGACGGAGGACCGCAGAGGAGCCTTTTCTCATTCTGCCCCATAGAAGATAAAGGGGGACCATGAGACGCCCACTGCGTGATGGCTGTGGTTTGTGTCTTGGGACGGCTGTGCAAAAGGTGAATGGCGTTTTGTGCACAGCCCAGGTGACACTGGACATCAGGAAGGCCACCCATGGGGAAAGAGTTGGATATATAAGCTAACGAGAGCCGTGCTAATCTAATGCTGCAGTTTTAGCAGTATATCTGGAGGCACTGGATTTTGAGTTCAAGAGGAAACGTGTTTGTTACTTGCATTCTAAGCTTTAACCAACTTTTCTTGTCGCACTATTTACACGATTATTTAGCCTGATTAAAGACAGAGATTCCAAATCCCACCCCCCATCCCGCTCTCACCATCCAAAAATATCCACTTTCTGGGGAGTGATATCCATTTAATGAGAACATTAAAAATGTATCACATTAGCAAATCACCACTGGATAAGCAACCTGTATGAGCCGACCCTTAATTAAATGGCCATAATTCTTCTACGAAAAACTAACTGGCACTTCTATTCTGTCCCATACAGACTTGTATGCAAATGACACCACTTCATTTTCTTTACACAGCTTAAAAAAAAATTCATAAATTAAAAACGTGGAGTTCCATCTCTAGTGTCCCTTGCGTAATTGTATGATTTATAAAAGACAAACGATGTTGAGTTAAATCAAACCTTAAAAAAACACACACACAAAAAAAAGGGAAAAAAAAAACCAAGCCCCCAACCCCCCACACAAAAAAACCACCACCACCACCAACAAAAAAAAAACAACAAAAGAAAGAAAAAACAACAAAAGAAAAGTGGATTTTTTTAATCAACGTACAATAAATATATCTCCCAGTTATTTGGGATGGACAACTTGAATCAACACCTTGCAATTGCAGATAGTTAATTTCAGTGTTTGCAAGGATGGTGATTTTTTTTATTTTTTATTTTTGTTTAAAAATCCGCAGTTATTGTAAGATTCTTCTTTATTTCTTTTTTTTTTTATTATTATTTTTAAAAAGGCCTGAGTAAAAAGTTCCGCTCTGGGACTTGTATCAGATTCTCTCTGAAGCAGAATTCAACCTCTTCATTAATAAAATTCTTCAAGGCAATTCTTTCACATGGGGGGAACAATCATGCCAGATATAGCTGTTGTAAGGAAAGGGTTGGGGAAGAGAGGAGAGAGAGAAAAAGAGGAAAACGAGTTACTGTTGTGCATTGTAATGCAACCTTTAAACATTTACTAGCAACATATTTTGGCTGGAAAACATTAATTGTGCGAGACTGCTGAAATTAGTGATTTTCTTGCAGAGTAAATGCACTTCGCCCAGTATAAGAATCAGGCCCCAACTTAATCTTTTATTTTAGTTTCAAAATCTCAAAGCGTTCAACAGGTTCAAACCTGCTTCAGCCATTGCCATATTTTCTACTGCATGTTTTGCTTCACACATGAGCAAATGGCTGAAGTCCATAGGCAGCCAGCGTCAGCGATCTGGCAGTGCATTTGTTGCATTAGGCAGAGTAACAGCAGTTCATTTTCCTATGCCAGCTTTCTCTCACACGTTCAGTATTCAACATGGAGCATTATGAATGCATTTCCAGGTGCTCAGAAGTGACTTAAACTCTAAAAGTCTAAATTTGAAGTAGAAATTATGTTAAATGCCCTTAACTAAGTCATGGTTCATTACACTTGTAGACTTCACCAACTACACTGAGTAACATGTTTACTTCTGTTGGCTGAACTGCATCCTTTATTATGCTTTCTAACCTTCGTTCCTATGGAACCACCACCTCTCTTAGAGATGTTTCTCAGAAGTCAACACCTACAGCCTTCCACCTCGCCTGACCTCCAGGTTGGTCTCTGTTTATCAGGCAGGGGTCAGACACAGCAAGCGTCCGAGCGACATACTGTGAGCACGCGCATCATTACAGGTGGCAGTTGTGTAAGTTTATGATGAAAGCTGTGACAACAACACATCCTTAAAACACCAGTTGTATGGTTATTTGCAGAAAGGTAGAAAACAGATTTGCCTTCAGGTTGGCGGCACTTCACGGGCACATTATTTAAATGCTAGAACTGCCTGCCATCTCCGACATCTGGACATGTAATTTCTTAAGGAAGAAATCAACCCTGTGACTGGTGCTGATTCATTGTGCTTTAATTACAGCTGCAATTATTTGATAAGAACAGAGCCAAAGTAAAAGACTCACAGATTTGGGGTTGGAGGGGGAGAGGAGGGAAATGTTTTCTCCACAAACACCACCATATGTGCAAGAATTACAAGTCTAATCAGCAAGGGGAGAACAGCTCGAGTAAACTGCACTGATTAAATGAAATAAAATGAGAGGAGAAGGCGAGAATGCAAAACACATCCACATGTTCGCAGGAGGCCGTCCTCAGAGGTGGCATGTTGCAATTGTTCAGCAGCATTTTGATTCCTAGAATTTATCATTCAGCCACAAGTTATGTGGAATCACTACAGTGATGGTTATCACTCCACATAAAGGCTCTGCAAGGTGCTGGGAACAAGGATTAAAGGGATAGAGAGGTGAGTTACATTGCTCGTGCCCTACAAGAAGACACTCAAGTAATCAGAAGAGGACACTGCTGTGTCTTAAATATTTCTTGCTGAGGCATTTCCTGACACGGTTTTTTTTGATTCTACCAGGGGATAATCTGTGAATGCACTTCCATGTTATCTCCACAGCTATGCTGTCTCCTTCATCTTAAATCACAGGATGAACTTGATAGACTTTTGTTTAAAGATTCCTTGCCAAAGGGTTTTATTTCAAGAGTATCTCAAATAATACGCCCTGAGTGCCCACAAGTGGGCTTTACTCTTGGTACAGGTGAATAAAAATGAAGCAAAAGCAAGTCAAAAGCAATGCCCTTGTTGTGATACTCAGTTGCTCCTCACTCTGCTCTTGGGGTCATTACACTTAAGGACTGGGGTACGAACATGGAACATGATCCATGGACATCCACAGCAGCCGTAAAGCGCCATGATGGGTACAGTCTGATTACAGACTGTAATTCTGCTTGTGGCAGCCATGTGAAGTGATCACTCACAGCTGAAGGTATTTCTTGTACGAATATATGACAGATTGACATGGGGATGGATCTGAAAATCAGACTTTGGTCCCAGTTCTCCTTCCAGCTCATTGTATTACATCAAGCATTTTGATCTGCTTCTGTTTCTTACATGGGAAAAATTTTTATCCATACTAGTAAAGCACTTGGAGATTTTTGGATGTGGGAAGTTGGAGAGCTTGCACACCACAGAAGTATATCACAACACAGAGAAGAGCTATGCTGAGAGCAATACTCCCTCCTTTGTTGTTCAGATAAGCTATGAGCTAAGCAGATGGGAATGGGTCAAGTCTTCTGTGTGTGATGAGTGCAACTGAACTGAGTCAAATGGCTGATTAATTCCCTACTTCAGCATTTTGTCTTTTTCATATCTCTAAATATAAAACTTCAGAAAGTGTCAAAATATAATAAATAAATAATCTGAAGCTAAAAGATTCCTTAAGCCCAAATCAATTTCACCAAATAGTGGTCAAGAATTGCCGTTCTCTTGGGACAGCATGGCTGTCATCACTGTGCAGGATCCCAGATTAAGGTGACATAACTGTAACTCCTGCCTTCATGATGTTTCCCTACAGTTACGTATTAGCCATTGGAAGGAAACTGTACAGATGCAGATCTTTGTTCATTTTATCAAAGCATTATTGCCTTTGAAGAGCCCTAAAATTCTGAATTAAATTACAAGGCAAATGACAAAATGATCTCTTTTCTACCTAAAAGCCTTGATATTTCCATTCTTTCCAAGTCTTCATTTTTATCACTCGACTTTCATTTCATAAGTGCTACATCTAGTCATGCAAATTCTCTCAGCTGTAGCATGTTATTGATCCTGAAAACAGAGATAGCAGTGGGAAACAGTGTAGGTATGAGATTGCACCTCCAAGAAGAGAGGGCAAAAAAACCAGAAGAACTCCCACCAATGGGCATTATTTCTTTTATCATGTACTAATTTGCATTTGCTGCTAGCAATTTACAGAAATAGTGTATTTTGAGTTTTACAAAATTGCATGGCAAAGAGAACAACAGATAAGCCTAGCTGTTGTTTTAGTGAGTTCTACGGATATCTACGCTACATACGGAAAACTAGATTGCTTTCTGATGTATCCAGAAGCCCAAGAGAGATAAGACAGCCTCCTTATACAAGATTGTTTATTTAAGCAATAAGGCACAACAGGCAGTGCATTTCTGAGCGATTATTACAAGCCTCGGGTGGTATCAGAAGGCATGGGGCTAAAGGCTGCGCATCTTTAACTCACCAAGAAGTTCAGTGATGACCCTTAAAATGAATTTCTTGGTGGCTCATTCCTATTATGAAAACAGAATTGCTAAATAAAAATTAGGGGCAACACTCAGATCTGTGTGGTTTCTGGGCATTACAGATCTGGATGTGACATAATGAGGAGACAATCAGCAAGCCCCAGTTGCATCCAGCACTCAGCTTGTTCCATAATTGCTTTCCATAACCCATTAGGCAGAACCTGGGAATTCTGTGTCCCGTGAAAGGAAAAACAAGAGAAAAATCTTCCCTTATTACTTGCTTTTTCACTTCAACCTCACACACACTGGGATAAGGTGAAGAGATGATAAAAACATTGGAGCGTTCTGGCAGATTACAATTAGTTCCTTTTAATTTTCTTTTAATTCAGTCAAAACACTTTTAGCTGCTTTAGCCTTTAACATTTGTAGCATGTCAGCATCACCAGATCTTTAAAACGTAGGAAAAATGATATTCTAAGCAACACAGCACATCCAAAAACTCTGTTGTGTTTTATTCTTGATGCAGTCTGTATTTACAGCACTGCTTACAGAAGGCACCCAACAGCTGCATATACATTCCTATTATTTTCACACTTTCTGTGTGCACATGTAAATGTGCAAGGATTCATCCCCCCAAATCACCAGCATAAATTGCACTGAGGACAATGCTTCCCTTCAGTCATGGTGGATCACAGCTTTTATGAATGAACTCCTTGCACTCTGCCTGTATGTAAACTTTCCAGCTATAATGGAACTATCAGCATTATGTGCTGGTTTTGAGCATCTTCAGTTTGACAATCTTCTGTCTGCCACCCCTCAGCTTGTGTCAGCTCTTCAAAAGGAATTTAGGTGCTGATGCTCGAATACTTTGTAAGGAGAGGGTGCAGAAAAGGAGCAGCCCCTTCCTACCAAAATTTGATGAGGCCCTGCATCATTTGTGGAATTAATTGGCACAGAAGTGCATTAATCAGTGCTAATATATGCCCTGATATGAGTTAAACTGGCAAATTCAGTTTGTAATGTGTCTTCTATGTATGAAAGGCAGAGGTTGGTGCCAAGCTCTGTAATGGTCTATTTGCTCCCAGTAGGATCTCTGCACAAGTGTACTATGACAAAGGAAAAAAAAGGAAGGGAAGATTGAGTGACGTACTTCAGGAGAAGGCCAGCCCCTGGAGAGACCCTGCAGTGCTGTACTTGCTAGAGTCCACAAAAGACTGGTCTGATAATGGACGACAACAGGGAATAAGAAAGGAAAGAAAGAAAAAGGATGGTATTAGTAAGCTGAAATATTACTCGTTCTTATCACAACAGCAGGTCTGTGCTTTAAAATACACAGCCTCACAATTCATCAGTATTAGATGGGTTAGAGATAGGGTGGTTGCCAAACACCTGCAAGGTACTAGGTGGGCTGTCGGAGGAGTACAGTTACTCTTTATGGGAGGAAGCTTTAGGACAGAGGCCACCAGGGATCCCCCACTGTCTTCTCCCCTTGGAAACCTGAGTGTCGCTCAGAGCCTTGCAAGGCGTGGGCAACTTACAGTTCTGAGAGCAGCCATCTACACTCCAGAGCTGGTTTCACCTACCTTGCAGGCTATTGCCATTGGTGCTGGTGCAGGTGGGAGGAGGAGAAGTTTGCGGTCTCACGACAGGCGCAAAAGCACTCTTCTGTTTCACCGCTGAGACCATGTTGGCTGGTGAGAACGAGAAAATCCCAGATGAACTGCTACAGTTGGAGGGGAGGCTAGTGGAGGAGGCCATTGTTGGACTTGATGGCACAACTAGAGGAAAAAAAGACCCCACCAGAAAGGCACACCTTAGGATTAGATAGTCAGCACTACTGCAAAACCAAAAGACTACTGCTTGTTGGATGGACTGGGTCTAATTTCAAGTGCCCAAGGCTTTTATACAGTTAGTGGTAGCTCATAGTGCGATTTGTCGCTGAAGGAAGCCCACCTTTGGCAACTGCTCAGGAGCAGTGATTCTAGTGCATTCGAGGACTCCTTTAATTTTCTGTCACTGCAATAATTATTCAGGTACTGGCATCACCCATTGCAGAATAAGGGATGAGATGGAATCCAGATCATGCAGGCAACACAGAGGTGAGCACAGGGGTTACAGTACACATCTGGATTTGGAATTTTTAATGTGGAACAATCCAAATTTTTAATTGGATTCCAAAGCCAGCACTTTTGAGATCTTTTGCCTCCAGAAAGGCTACAGGGTGTCAGATAAACCTGCATGAGGGGAGAGACACCCTTAAAATCCTATTTTATTGTACAATGCAATACATGCCTTTCGTTCATGTACTTATCATTAAGATTTCAAGTGGTTTTTATTTTCATGCAAACAAAACAACTCCTTTTATTTTCAGACAGCACTGACACTTCCCATCTTAGTTCAAAAGAAGAAAAAAAAAGTAATATCCTGTGCTTTCATTCTTTGTCCTGTTTAGAAACTGCTTATATACATGAGAGGACTATGAAAAATTACGTATTATAGAGTAAAATTCATACCATCTGGGCTTTGAATTATTATTTTATTAGCATTTATGTAGATAAAAATCACCCCATTTAAGTTCTTACTCGAAAATCTGATATCATATTTGTTAACACTGAGGAAATCAATTAATGGAAATTAAATGTTCAAAGTTTCACTGCCTGACAGATACAATCTTAGTCTGAAGTCACTCTATGTCTGCAAGTACTTGCTAAGGGAGAGCAATCAAAGCACCTAAATTGAATTGCTACTATACAGCAATTAGTTTATTGATTTAATTAAGAATGCCACCTTTTAATTTTCAGGTCATGATTGAAGCATTTTCTGATTCAATGGATTAGGCATTAGCAGAATGACAGATCTACCAAGAAAACCTCCCAAAATATCACCAGAATAAAGAACCAGGGCTGAGAGGTGAAGTGCTATTCTAAAGAGGACTTTGTTCATAAATATGAAATTATACATTGCTTGAGTATTTTAAATGCATCACTGGCATTGCTTCCAAAAGAAGATGTCTCATCAATCATGTTATATTATGAATTCAGAGTGTGCAGATTCTATGACAGTAAATTCAACTTAATAAGTAAGTATAGCATACTTCAACAGTATTTGCTACATTATTATTAGAGTACAAAATAATAACCAGTTAGCAATTCTTAAATTTTAAGTAGTAGTTACATAGGTAAATATTTTCTTCTAAATTTGCAGCTGCTAAGAAGCCTTGAAGGTAATGTTTTCCCCTTTAAAATTTTGAAGCCTACCGATGGAAGTCAGAATAATTACTGCTGTTACAACACTAAACTTAAGATTTCATAGAATCCTAAAATCACAGAATGGCTTGGATTGGAAGGGACCTTTAAGATCATCTAGTTTCAACCCATCTGTTACACGCAGGGACAATTCCCACTAGACCAGGTATAGAACCTTGCTATGTTCAGCACTGCTTCTCCTGTCCATGTGAGGGTCTCAGTTTATAAACAAGTTTATAAACATACTTATAGGACAAGATCTTCTGGCCCGATTCTGATTGTAGCTTTCTGCAGATGTCTGTAGGCAGGTCCCATTCATTTCATTTTCTCAAGTGAACAGAGACTACTGACTGAGCTGCGTTAGTTGTGGCAGAAAAGGTTCATAGGTGTTTATCAACCAAAGCATATATATATGTATATATGTGTATGTATATGTGTGTGTATATATATATATATATATATATATATATATACATACAAAATTGTTAAACTAAACCTTGCACATTAACATACAAAGTCCTACACAGAAGCATTTCCAGAACCAGGACTGTAGACTGTAAGTGCTTTGCACCATGGGATCTATGATTTGTATGGCTTGAACCTTTGTGGCATTCTCTGTACAGACACTAAAATACAAACTCTAAGAACCATTGTCACGTTTTACTGACTAATACTAAAACCTCAGTGAAGTCAATATACTACATAGTTACAAAGCAAATGGCATATAAGCAATCAAGATTAGACCCAATAGTAATTCATGGTGTCTGTAAAGGTTATGAGCATATTATTTGTTCAGAGGTCTTGGAAACATCATCATGCAGCTTATGGAAATGTCAGTCTGCCAGTATTATGGCAAACTTTTCTGCCCTTCATATCTTCCAGCTGGAAACACTGTTTTTCCTGCAGCAAATATCTTTAGCCTCCTCCCATCCTCACTGTAACAAAGGGCATGTACTGATAATATTTGATGCACTCCAACAGAAATTAAGTCACTTATGTCATCCCTGCTTTCTGGAATTAGCGATACTGAGAACAGAATTTCTTATTTACAGATATACGGTAAGTTATGAAACTATCAGCACAAATCATGAGAGACATTATTCTTTTTCAGCTCTTACGAGATTCCAAAATAATAATAGAAGAATAAAGAAAAGCGTTGCTGGCAACACCAACGTCTTCCAAGTGCTTCAAAGGTCAGTGGCCTGGGGAGGGGAGAAAAGCCTAAGCTCTGCATCAAGTGCTCAGAATAGAAACTAAATACTGAGTATCACAGAAAAGTTACCATCTCTTTGTAATGAAAATGTACAAATACAGAAGAGTCACATAATACTCACTGGCATAGGGAGAATTGGCAGCAGATCCATTCAGGAAGGTTGGAGAACCGCCTAAATTTGACATTCCAGCATTCCCATAGCCATTCATGCTTGTTGTGACAGAGTTGTAATTTGTCTGCTGAGGGGTGGTGCTTGGCACATAGCCGTGAGGTGACACGCTGCTTGAGTTGCGAGTAAAACCTTTTGTGGTGAGGGAATACATTCAGAGATTGGTATTAGCCCAACAACAATTTCTTATACAACAGCTACAAGCAAGTAACTCAGCAACAGGGTCTGTGGGGTGAGCTACAACTGAGCACCGAGTAACCCAAATTGTGATCCCTGTCTGCATGGCTCGTTCTTGGTGGGAGCTCCAAGACGGAGGAGGAAGGCCACAGCCTTCACAGCAACAACCCATCTATTCAAGGAGAGATGATCATTGGGTACTATGGGAATGATCACTCTAAAAGAGCTGTTTTGTAGGAGATGAAGTAACATGACCTGTATTTTTTAAGTTATGTGTACATACCGATTTAAGGCATGTTAAAAGCATATGATTTTTGTTAACTGTCTTCTGTGGTCTTTCTCATTCAGTACATCTCAAATTAGATGCTCACCACATACTGAAGAAAACACAGGGTACATTTCCAAGAGTAGTGGAATATGCTCAGTCCTCTTGTCCTAGTTTGATCATTAATTAGTAGAAAATTACTGCCAAATTTGGCTCTCAGTTAAAATTTCAATTTCTACCTAATTTTGGAAATTGTATTTAGAGAAACTTGTATTTAAAAAAAAAAAAAAAAAAAAAAAAAGAAAAAAGATGAGTATTTGCTTCTACAAGCGCAGAAACACAAAATGCATTTCAATCCTGGAAGATAAAATACAATTTTTTTCTTCCTGTTCCATCCATACAATATTATGATTTAAGAAATCATTATGATTTAAGAATCATTTCTATTTCTTAGAATAGAGCAAAATATTTTTTTTTTTTAACCCTTCCAAATAACAGTCTCTTTCTATTGCTTCCTCACTAAAATGGATTTTAAGGTGGGTAATAAATAAAGCTGAGCAAGGTAGAGGGGAAAAAAAGGTTTTTACAAAAATAGAAATTAAAATATTGAATTATTTTTATTCAAAAAATACTTTGTTATAAAAAGGTCTGAAAATACCTCTGTAAATAATACTTTTTTCCTACTTTCAAAATTTAGAAAAAAATTTCACTCTGAAAAAAATTCATGCCAATACTGCAAACCAAACCAACACTTTCATGTCACAAGAAAGTATTACATAATGCCCAGACTTAGAGACCATGTATGTTTAGGAAAATGCATAAGCAAGTACTTAATCTTAAGTATATGCTCAGGTCAATAAAAATCCCTTTTAAAAATAGTGGGATTTGAAGGCAAACACAAGTGTTAGATTCTGAGCAGAGAGAAAAGTGATTTGGTTCACTTGATTTGGTAATTTGCACAAGGCTTCTCCTGAATTGGGGTCAAATTCACTACAGAAAGCTGTATCTCATGGCAGTATTGTGTAATTCAGAGTTTGTATGTGCACGTGGGATGCTGTCTGTCTGGATGTTCATTTTGAACCATCTCTCTTTCATCACTCTGCACGTCTGCCTGACTTTTATCAGAAAAGGTTCATAAAGAGAGGAAGACGAGTCTTCTCCTGACCCTGATTGGTGGCCTGTGAGGCTTCAGATACGTTGACAGCTAGTTGACCACTAAAGGAATTCACTCCCATCATTCCTGCATGGACTGACGTGTTGGCAAGGGCGGGGAGCTGGTTATGATTGCGAGGCACACTGTAGAGTGCTTCCGCGATGTCTGCTGCTCTTTTCAGGATTATTTCCTAGGGGACAAGGGTAAAAAAGAGTTACCAACTCAACTCTGACAAACCTTTTCTTACATATCAAAATAAAACATTTCCCTGTCCAAAGGCAAAAACTAGATGCTTTTCTTCCTAAACCAGCTGGCTGATAGATTGCTAACACTTATAGCTCTGCTTACTTTGCTATAAATCCTGACATCTGTGGTAAAAGAGCTGGAAGCTTCAGTCCCAGTGGCCACATTTCTGTATAACAAGAGAAGCTGGCAGAATGGCACTGAAGCCCAGGCTCCCTCCACCTGAAGCTAAAATATCTTTAGGTTAAGGCTGAAACATCACTGGTGGCAAGGAGTAATGCATGTCATTGCTCACATTATACGGTCTCTGGTGATAGTGGGCAAATGCCTCCAGGGTTAATAACATGTTGCTTTTGCAAGCATTCACATACTTTAAAAACCAAACAGGCAAACTAAGCCCCGCTCCAGATATGACATTGCCCTATGTGTTTATTCTCATCTCACATTGTAGTATCATATACCTTTAGCCTCTGATCTATACATCTAAGAAATAGCCATGTTTTAGAACTACTAAAGGAGAATGCATTTACCTGGTTATTATGTGGCATACCGTAGAGTGCTTCTACTAAATCAGCAGCCCTCTTAAGTATTACTTCCTGTCAATATAAAAACAGATGCGTTCCTTTAAGTTCAGTAGACTCCTTGTGAGGGAAAACAAGTATTAGAGTCTTTCGTATTATTCTATCGGGTGCACTGTTGCTTTGTGTTGTTCCCCCCACCCCCCCAGGCAGACTTTAATTTTAACAACTCTCAGCAACCACTGAATGGTGTTAAATCAGTAGTTGATCCTATTCGTGCACACGCTTAATCAAGTCAAAAGGTGAGAATCATTGGTGCTGCAAAATAAAATACATCACTCAATTGTCTTTACCATCTGCACCATAAACCACTCATCGGTTTATTGCGGAATACAATCCTGAGGTCATTTACTAGATTACTGCAATCAATGTCATTCAGAGCATGTTAGGCATCCCTTCAATGTGTTTGTTTTATTCTTAATTGCATACTGCAGGAATTGTGACCTTACCCAGCAGGCCACGTTCAGAAGATATCCAATCAGTTCTCTGCTACTGGTAATGTAACCTTTCAACTTCTTTGGTTTGTATCTTGATATAACGGATCAGGGAAGGATCCGTGTTCACAACACGCACAAGAGGAAAACACATTCAATGTGAGAGAATGTCCCTGTGCCATGCAGTGTTTCCTGGAAAAACTGCCAGCATGGAAAAACTGCCCATTTTCCTATTTGATTCTCTTCTCTTAAATGTTTCCTGTAGCATTTTAAACTATCATTCAAGTAATATAGCATGTAATCCTGTATTCTTACATTTTACAGTGTGGAAAATTCCCTGTGAACAAACCTGATTAAAATTGTGAAAAATGCACTACAGAATTAACTCAGAAGAATTTTATTTTCCTATTCTTTAAAGGCACCTAGCAGATTCCTAATTGTCTGACCAAACACAGTCCAGACTGTCCTTTACATAAAACAGTGTATTGTAACTCCCAGTCCTTACATGTTGCTCTAATAAACTAATGTGATGTTATTCACCACATTGTATTTCTGCAGGCAGCTTACAAAAATAGTAACAGATCTGAGCATTTTCCACTTTTCTACAAAGTTAAACTTTTAAAGTTAAAATATTTTCCACAATAGCCATATTTTATACCAAAAAGAAACAGTAATGCTCAATTTTCATATACTGTAGACTCTGATCAGAAAATAGAGATATAATTGCATTCATTTTGCTGTCACCATAACCTCTTCAAAAATCCTTGAACAACTCTTCAAATGACAAGCTTTTAGATGCATATTAGCATTTTTTTCAATTTTAAATTCTCTGTAATATAAGATAAAACAGTTGTCATACTGCAGTAACTACTTATGACATATATAATGTCCTAAATTCAAAAATGAGATGGAGGATTTTTGTACTTCCAGTAAACATTTAGGATTGCCTTCTGCTGCACACACCCCTCTCCCATAACACACATCTAAATTATTTTCCACATATGAAGTCAGATGTAATATGTAATTGATGGATTTCTGAATCACTGTATTGAAACATTCTGAGGAGTAACATTGCTACAGTTTTTCTTCTTTTCTCTTTTTTTTTTTCTTTTTTCCCCTCTCTGTGTGTGTAGCTTGACCACAACTGTCAGCTACATAATTATGAGTAGGCAGACTGCAAGCAACATCCAGGTACAGTCAATCCTTGCTGCTTTACCAAAATCATCAGAAAACTATGTAGCCCTTTTTCCCTCATGTTGAAGATAAAAACTGGAGAAGAACAGAAACATTAAAATGATTTCAAAAGGGAAATTATTATAAAAGTGTTTGACTTTTTAAACTAGGATATACTTCACTTCAGTAAAATGTGTTTGCACTATATATTTCACTAATGCAAAATTAGAATGTGATAAAGAGCCCACAAACTGCTTTGGAATATTGTTAACCAAAGCTGTCATTATGTTAAATTACTAAAAAAGGAAAGTTTAATTACCTGACTATTCATAGTTATTTGTGTAATGCTGAGCTAAAAAAAAACCCTCACACTGCATCAAAAAAGAGACTGAAGACCATGTTAAAAGAATGAGGTAATTACATAGAATCTTACAGGTGCTCTACTTCATATTAAATATATTCCAGTTCTTAAAAAATGGAAGGTATTTGAAGATGTATCATATTGTGTATAAATAAAACTAATTATCATGATGGCTTATTTAGGTATGTTTGACAAATAACATTCAGTTTTCCTAGCTAGTCAGTGGCTACTTTTGTCAACATTTTTGAATCTATAAATTTGAGTTTCCTACTTTCTCTAAGAATATTTACACACATAAAAATGCATTTCTTGTTTGTGATATTTTCAGATCATGTATCCCGTGTCAGATACCGGTATTTTCTATTGCAGAGCTGACAATATAACTATAGACACAAACTAGCTTTAAAAATACACAATGAAATGCTACTACAGATATACTCAGGATATTAACTTCTTTTTTTTCTGGATGTATCTTAAACCTCTTACAGCTCTGCCTAAATTACAGCACAGACTACAGTTACGTCTTCACATAGAAAGGAGCCCCGAAAGTCCTCTATAAGTTAGAGCAACAGACCTTGCAAGGTGCTTGGATTGCGGTGACCAGAAAATTGTTCTCACCTCCATGTCATTACGCTCACAGTGAAGCAGCCCCCGAGCATGTTTGTGTTCGGGATCTAATATATTGCCTTTCAATCAGAGCTGAGAGCCACTGAACACACAGACAGAACATGACGAGCAGGTCAGGAAAGCAATAAAGATTTTACAGAGCTGTCCAAGGTGCTAAATTTACTCAATAATGGGTTTGGCACCATAGTGTTAACCTCTCATTTACTACCAGTTTGAGGGACTAAATTGAAGTAGCTGACTTCATTTACCTTGAAATGTATATTTTATGACATTATGTAAGTAGATTGAAAGGGCACTGCAGTTTTAACAATTTAAAGGCTAGAGCATGTATAAGATGAAGCTTGAACATTTATTGTATATTGCACTTAAACTATATAGTATATTAAAATGCATTGATTAAATTTGTAAAAGGTATTATAAAAAAGGACAGCTAATATAAAAGATCTATGTCTTTTAAAATCCAATTGATACTGCATGCTATCACTGCAATGGTGATAAACAGACAGACAGGTGGACAGGGCAGCAGACAGACATCAAAAAGTGAGTGAAACTTGCATACTACAAATAGAAATCTCTACAAAAGCTCAAGATCTGTTTTTCAGTATACTTTTTGTTCACAGAAATTCTCATTTGCCTTCATCATAGAACCACAGATTTTCATAGCAGTAGGTAGGCATCACGTAATACCCTTCTAATTGAATATGCTAGTGGAAATGTTTTCTGAAGAGACAGAGTTTTACTATAGCTAATATCTAATTTATGGAGGTATTCAACAAGGAAGATCCACTCTTCTACAAATGGGAAAAGTCTGACACTTTCATTTGGAATAAAGAACTATGCAGCTTTTAGTTAGAGGCAAAGTGAGGATCTTCATGTCTTGCATTTTCTTTCAAATGAGCACAATTTTGTTTCTATAAAAATAACAAAAATATTGAAATGAGCAGAAACTACTTTAGAGATTAAATACGATGAATCAGAATTCTGCCCCCCAGTTACACGCCACTGATTCAGAGTCCATTCCAAACAGAAGCCGATTTTCTACTGCAGGATTTACTTTTTTTTAATTTGTGAAACAAAAATGCAACTGATATTTGTATCAAATGTTTATGTAAGCAAGAGAAGAGCTGGGCTATAGTCTGTTGTGACTTTGCGCATTCCAAAATTACTGCAGGAAGGATTATATAAGAATATGAGAATGACTGTGTTTTTGAAGCACAAAGACTGTAATTCAGATGAAATCCACTTCCAACTGAATGTACTTTGAACATTACAGCAACTTTGCATGTTTTGACTGTGACATGCATTCCCTTCAGCAAGAATTCATTAATAACATAAAACTTGCATTTCAAGTGTATTACACCATTACAACAAATACATTTTGGGTCAAGTTTTATCATGATGAATAATTTTTTTGGCAGCTTTAAAAAATATGGGATCTCTTTGCTGTTGACATTTGCTTATTTTTCATTGGGCGATAAGTGAAAAAAATCCACTCTGTGTCCCAGCAGTACTGTGAGTCCAGTCAGCAAAAGGGAATCTTGAGTTACAGTTAGTTATTCAGCTCCAGTAACTAAATTAGAGTATTTAAGGTACTAATAAGTGTAATCTAAATGAATTTTGTCAAGAAGCTGACCACAATATAAAATACTCATCAGCCACATATGGTATTACGGAGACCACCAAAGGATTTATGTACTTGTGGAGGGCGTGGGGGGAAAGCTGTTCTAGCATGCTGTGAGGCATTTATCTTATGTGTTGTCTAGATATCATATCACCTTCTAATGCTCTCTAGCATTGTAATACAAGAGAGAGCTCATTCATCTTCTGAGAGGCTACTTAGGGATGATGATGTCATTCATACTTCCTTGACTCTCATGTCTGACCTCCTGGCTCTGCCTTCTAACTTCCTACTCTCAAGGCTGCTTGAAAGAAAAAGAACCCCTTCTACAGAGTCAAAATACTGAACATCAGACTCCTATTCCTTTCTTCATCTTGGGATGCTAGCATTCTTCTACTTCAAGTCAAAATTATAATATTTTGTGCTCAAACTTTTCCTTTGTTTTTCAAAGGATGAAACATTTAATGTACTAATGAAGGACATGTACTAGAAAAAAGTTTTAAACTCAACATTTGTAAGTACATTATATTTTAAAAGACAAAATTATGAACACCTCTTTTAACTGTAGTGGCAAAGATAACATTTAGGTGGAGATATTTATAAAGATTCCAAGGTAAATGACTGGCATTTTAGATCTGTGGCATACAGGAGTTTCAGCGTCTCACATCTTTCCATATTTACAGGGAGCACTGCATTATTTTATCATCTTCAGCTATTGTATTTTTATAAAACACTTATAAAAGCCATCAAAAAATGTAAGGATTCTCCCTTAATTTTAAAACTGAAGGAATTATGCTGGCCTTAT